GACTCTGGGAGAACAGTGACCACCATCTGCCCCTCCTGGAAAATGACCTCCATCCCACGTCTCTTGTTCATCGCCGATGCCATCCATGGATGCCCGAACACAACGTGCCAAGAAACTGCTGAGTTTTTATCTGTTTGCTTGACTTTAAAGATATCTCAACCATGTCATAATGGCTGTTTCATTACAACAAATGCTGTAATAAATATACAATCATTGACACAGATCCTGAAGCATACAGCCAGCAGGATGCAATACTGGACAAATGCTCATCAGCTCCCCTGAGGGGGGGGCGTTGCTCCTCCTTCTGATATTGTACATGAACCTACACTTGCTCCAGGAGCTACAAATGATAATCAGTATCATCTTATTCACAGAAGCTCTTTGAGGGCAAAATATTGTATGCTTAGGATAGGAAGTGTCTAATGCAAGTTTTAGGGCTCACTATTGAATTTGGGAAACTAAGTCTGATTATAATAAAGAAAAATTTGGAGTATTTTCAAAGTATTCCCATGTTGACTTTCTCTACCCACATCAGTTCAACATCATTTTGCTATAGCTGAGAACAGAAGAAAAGAGGAAGCAAGGTGTAGACTTGACCAGCTAGCCATTGTAACAGTGGGCAGGAACACACACCTGGAGTTTGGGTGCAACCTCCACATAACCTCTCTGACCCTAGTCACCTAGTGGATTTTCTGTGATGATTAAATGAGATAACATGCATGTAAATCACTTTGCAGATTGCTTCAACAAATGGTAGTGTTTGCCTGCGTGTTAACTAATTGATGAAAAGTGGGGCTCTCTTTTTATCTTGAGTGAACTTCACATTCTTGTCTTCTTCCTACGATAGAATCATCAGTGATTGCTGTTATTGCTCCTTCCCCGTAGGCAGTCACAGTGGATTATCTACAACAGGAATTTAAGGCCAAGAGCAGAGTGTACTGTCGTTGTGAGAGGCTCTGGCTCAGTGATGAATGACAGCTCAGAGTGGAGCAAGTTTCCATGGGTGAACGTGCTCCCCAGAAGCTGGCTGCTGAGTCAATAAAGCCTTCTAGAAAGGATACAGCAGTCCACAGAGCCGACAGTGGCTCTGGTCCCTGACAACAGCAGTCCCACTGTGAAGAGTATTTATTGTGGAGCCATTTACTCTGACTAAATGTTACTGGTGCATAGCTCCTGAAACTTAATTTTTTAAATGAAAATTTATAATGTCTTTATTTTTTCAGTAATAGTACTACATACAGAATGCTCTAGAAGCTTTAAATATGTATTTTCCATGGCTTCTGTATCATTGAAACAGAAAGACCCTAAAAACCTATACATTTTCATATCCAGAATACATAAAGAACTTTCAAAATGCAATAAGAAAATGAACCACCAATTTTAAAAAAGAGCAAAATATTTGAACACACACTTTGCCAAATATGAGCTAAAGATGGCCAAAAATATATAAAAAGATGCGCAGGGCTTTGCAGATGCTGCTGCCCCACAGCCACCCGTGCCCAGCCATGGTGAACCCCATCATGTTCTTTGACATTGCCATCAACATGAGCCCTTGGGCCGTGTCTCCTTCTACTTCTTTGCAGACAAAGTTTGAAACACAGTAGAAAACTTTCATGTCTGAGCACTGGGGGGAAAGTATTTGGTTATAAAGGTTCCTGCTTTCACAAAATATTGTGGGATTTATGTGCCAGAGTGGTGACTTCACAAGCCATAATGGCACAGGCAGCAAAGCAATCTATGGGGAGGAATTTGATGAGAATTTCATCCTGAAGCATATAGGTCCTGGCATCTTCTCCATGGCAAATGCTGGACCTAACACAAACAGTTCCAAGTTTTTTATCTGCACGGCCAAGACTGAGTGGTTGGAAGGCAAGCATGTGGTCTTTGGCCAGGTGAAAGAAGGCGTGGATATTGTGACAGCCATAGAGCACTGGGGTCCAGGAATGGCAAGACCAGCAAGAAGATCACCATTGCTGACTGTGAACAACTCTAATAAATTTGACTTGTGTTTTATCTTAACTACCAAACCATTTCTCTGTAGCTCAGGAGAGCACCCCATCTGTTGGAATGTTCTATAATCTTCGTGCTCTCACCTCAGTTCATTGGGTTCCATATTTTCCTTACCCCATCTCCAAGTCTAGCTGGATTGAAGAGTTAAGTTTATGATTATGAAATAAAAACTAAACAACAAAAAAGGATGCTCAGTCATGCACTGCAAATTAAAGTGAGATACATCTGTTAGAATGGCTAAAATTAAACAATTTACAATACCAAGTGCTGACAAGGAAATGCAATGACTGGATTTTTTATTCACTGCTGATGGGAATGCAAAATGGTACAGTCTCTTTGGAAAACAATTTTGAAGTTTCTCTTAGAATTAAATATTTACCATATGACCCCACAAGCTCACTCTTAAGAGAAATGAAAACACATGCCACACCAGTTTTTATAGCAGCTTTATTTGTAATTACCCAAACTGGAAAGAATTCAAATGTTGGTGAACATATAAACTGTGGTACATCCTTACAATGGAATACTATGCAGCACTAAAAAGGAACTAACCATTCATGTACCCAACAACTTGGATAGATCTCAAGGGTATTATGCTGGAATAAGCCAAACGCAAATGGCTACCAACTGAATGATTCCATTCATATGACATTCTGGAAAAGCCACAACTATAGGGACAGAGAATAAGTAGTTGTTGCCAGAGGTTGGGGATAGTAGGGAAGGGACTGACTACAAAACAAAACAGGGGAACTTTTGTGGTGATGGTGGTTACACAACGACTTATTTTTATTAAAACTTATAATAATGTACACCTAACAAGGGTGAATCTTACTGGATATAAATCATAAACATAATAAACCTGATGAAAGAAATTATGTTTATTTTTCCACTGATATAGTATTTAGAAAAAACTCTTTTAAGAGTGTTAAATATGTATTTTCTTTACATGGTTTCGTTGTCATTGAAATAAAAGCCAATAAATATGAATTTGCTTTTCCATTTTAGGCCTAGACGTTTTACTGCCTCTGCCTAAATTAAGGCAACTCGTAAGAGCTTGTTTCCTGGGCTACACCTGCCCATGAGAAATCAAAGGGCTTTTACTGGGCTCTAATCCCCTCCCAAAAGGGCTACAATGCCACTTTTTCTAAGCTGGTGGCCAATATATATTATCCTTCTGAGGGGGGGGGGAGAGAGAGAGAGAGAGAGAGAGAGAGAGAGAGAGAGAGAGAGAGAGAGAGAGAGATAGATCAAGGATACTGATGTGGAAAAGTCGGTCCAGGGTTTTGTGCTTCGGTGCTCCCCTGCACCTGACACGCTTGTGCCTGCTGCTTGTTCTTGCTGCTGGTCCCACCACAGCCCAATTTCAGGTCCCCTCCTCTTTAGTAGTTGCAAGGTAGTCTGTTCAAACACAGCCTTGGGAGGGGAGGGAGTTGTCAGGAGGAATTCCACAGATATCCCTTTCCAAGCAGCCTTGTTTGGTGCCCTAGAGCAGAGCAACGTCCATGGTCTTTCCTAGTTCTCTGGGACATCCCTAGACTCCCAGGCCTCTCTAGCTATCTGGTCTCCGTTCTCAGGGATGCTCAGGGCCCACGTATCAAAAGCACCCTCAATAAAAATAATGACTCACCAATCGAATGTTAGGGCTTTAAATGCTTTATGCCCTCTCCACAGCTCCCAGAGCACCCCACAGCTCCCCAAAGAAGATGGCCAAGGGTAGTCATGTTCCCTCAGAGACTGTCAAAGAGCAAATATTCCAAAATTTTGCCTCTTCCACCAAAGACAGAACTTTTGCTGAAGCTCACCTTTTTGCTCAGCACCTAACAATATGGTTTGTCTGTTGAATCAGCACAAAGGGTAAAAGGACATCCTTTATTTATGTAACAGGTTCCTCCACCCAAAATATCTCATTGATTTCCTCAATTTTACAAATACAGTTGCTTTATGCAGCAGTACTGTAGACCCAGTTCCCCAACCATGTACTTGGCTTTGGAAGGAATTTCAGTACTTCACATGAATGTGATATCTCTCGGTTGTAGGAATGCACCGTACTCTGCACCACCAAGGAAGGAACCACTTATTAAGGTTCCTCTCCTGCTTAGGTGCACCCTCTTCCCTGCACCAATTTATTCTGAGCAATGCACCTGAGGTAGACAGATGGCAAAAGGGCCCCATTCTTCCCCTCCTGTATGCATCCCTCTCACAATGTCACTGTGCAACTCTTCCATCAAGAGGTGGGGCTGTTTCCCAGCCCTTGAATCTGGGCTGCCCTTGTGTCTTACTTTGGCCAACAGAATGTGGCCAACAGAGTGAGGCCAACAGAGTGAGGCCAACAGAGTGAGGCGTAGGCCTCAAAAGCCCTGACATGCTTTTGTTTGCTCTCTCGGAACCTCACCACCACCATCAGCACATGGCCAGTCTAGCCCGCTGGGAGGATGAGGGTCCATGTGGAGAGGGCTCAGCCTGGCCCAGCCAATGCCCACGCAACCTGCAGACTGCACATGGGAGCAAGCCCAGCTGGGCTGACCCAGGCCTGAAGAACCAACCACGCTGAGCCAATGCAGACTGTGAACTAAATAAATGGTAGTGTTTTAAGCCACTAAGTTCTGGGTGGTTTGTTTCATAGCAAGAGCCCTTTCGGCCCCACCATAGGAAGGTCCCATTACAGCACAAATTGCTCTTTGTGCATATAGGTAGAGAGAAAATTTGATTTTTTTTCCTTTTTCTGGTATTTGTGTTAAATATGGGTAGGAACTATCAGACTCCAATTCCCTTTCAACTCCATGTTTACAAACATGTCTTATGAGATCAATAGCAGATATGTCATCAAAGCAAGCAAGTCATGTTCTGTCCCAACTCAGTTGTCACGGGTCCCACCAATAAGACACAACATAGCCAACATTGAACACCAGAGCATACCACAGAGATCGGGAATAAGACAGATGGTTGTTTAACAAAGAGCCCTGTTTAAGCAAACCACGAAAGAACTCTCCTATGGTCAAATATTACATTTAATAATCTCTTTATCACATTCCCCCAAACAAGTTTTCATTGTTGTCTTCATTGCATTCTTTTTACATTTGTCACATACATCTCTATAATACACAGAGGCAGACTTACAATTGCTATACATTTCCTATCATGAATTGTCTTTGGGTCAATACAGAATTAGTCGGGGTCAGTGTGGGAAAGAATGCGAATACTACCTTTCTCTGAAAGTAGATTCTTAATTAGTTAGCACCCTTTTTGTAAGAAGCGCATCCTTTGTTATCTCTGGGTAGGGAGAGTGTCAAAAATTATCATTAGTGCCTTTTCCTAGGAAGAAAAATGAAAGCACAGAAAGGTAAAGTAATATCAGTGGGATGATGACAGTCACGGCGGAAACTTGGGTTTTTAGCTCAGCATTCTACTTTGTGAACTCTACTTTGTTTAATATATTCCATCTCAAAAGGTATAATGGTTTCTCCCATTTTATAACATCTCTTTGGGTGAATGTTAACTAAAAGGGCAGAACAGACAGTAAATTCCCACCAACTGATCATCCTGGCAGTTTCTTCTTGCAATTTTTTCCATCCGCTAAGGAATCCCATAAATTATAAAGCCCCCCTCTGCTTCTCCATTAAAAGTCGCAATTGACGGCTACCATTGCGGCATTTCCAAGAGAACTACAATCAGTAGGGAGAAACCCGTGATCAGTGGCCATTCCCTTTAGCCAGGCCATTAGAGTGTGGACAGTGACCACCGTTAGCACTCTGAAAACCTATCAGACCTGCAAAATTAATTTTAGGTATTTTAACTTTTCTCTAGTATTTGAGAACAAGTACTCATTGACCACAACAGATGGAACAACCCAGGTAACTCCCTTCAGTCTGACTCACACTGTATGTTTCCTAACAAGAGGACTGATGCTAAGAGAATACTACTTATATGATACAGTTTCTTCAATCCACCAGAGGAGGATTTGTTTTTTAATTGAAATGCACTGGAAAATAGCAGGAGTGTCTTCCACTTCTGTGAGGCTAAGTTCTACTTAGGAAGAAAATAAGGCCTGTTGCCTAAATGCATTTATGCCACTCTGGTCTAAAGAAAGAAAATGCATATTAACTTTCAACTTGATGCTTGCTTTCTTTCTTGAGCTTCCGTAGCACCATCTTTTCACTCTGTGCAGGCTATCCCTGAGCCCTATTCAGTTCCACATCTTTTCCCCGAGAGACATCAAGAATAAGAATGCAAAGCTGCAGCAGCCCGCATTTTTAGGGATGTATTTACAGCAGGACCTGGCTGCCTCTGCTGGAAGGGGCAAATAAACTCCCCCCCGGGGATGAACATTTGGGGAGGGTGCAGGGGAGGAGGATGCACACTACAACTCAGTTCTGCCTAACGATGGACAAAACATAAAAACATTCAGAGGAGAAAAGGAGTTTTCCCTTTTCCCTCTTTTAGAAAAATGGGAATTCAGAAATGTTTTCAAAAACGAAAAGTCCCTCCACTCTTTCCCTGAGCCTCCCTCCAGGCTTCACATTTCTAACCTTTTCCCAAAAGTGCTTAGTACAGACCCCAACACTCCCCCACCTCCCCAACCCTCACCCCAGGCATTTCCAAAACACAGGTAGGTACTTGTGAGAAGGGGAGCAACAGATAATACACAAAGACCATCACCCTTGGGAGAATTCAAGAAAAATCCTTAAACAGTTAAAAAAAAAAAAAAAGTATGGGGGTGGGGTGGAGGTGAGGGCTATCAAGAAAAGTGTTATGAGATTAAGTGAAATACAAATACAAGAGGGGGAAAAGCACAGACCCAATACAACAGGACCGCCATAAAAACATGTCATAAAGAGACAGACTACTGACGAAATGATAACGGGTATTGGGAGGGAGGAGGGTGGGAGGAAGACCATAAAAGGGGGTAAAAAGTGGAGCAACCGAATTAGAGCAACGTGTACCTGAGTCATCAGCTGGTATGTGACTGCACGCCAGTGAGTGGTGAAAACACATTTGCGTTTTTAAAAAGCCCCGATTCAACGAATAGCACGGTGGGTGGAGAATGTCAGTAACTGGACGCAGATGTACCGCATGGAGCCGCGTGCAGGCCGATCCCGGGCCGTGCTCGCCCCCCGGCCCCGCCCCGCCCTGCCCAGCCCAGGTGCAGGTGCTCATGGCCCCACGCGGCCCGCACCTCCAGGTAGGTACGAGGTCCCTGTGGTGCTGATGGCCAGAGGGTGGGCTGCAGAGGGTGGGCTGATGGCTGGGAAGTCGCGGCTGATCCGGCGGCATCCCCGATCCGAGGAGCGCCGAGAGCCACAGCGGGTACCGGGCGCTCAGCGCTGCGCCCCAGGCGCGCGGGCCTCGGCCTCTCCCTGCTCCTGCACCGGCCGAGAAGCCTTGTCCGGCTCGGGGGCGCTGCACGTGTCCGGGAAGCGCGGCCCGAGGCCCGCGAACGAGTCGCAGCACGGCGGGCTCTCCTCCTGCACCGGGTGACCCACCGGCTCCCCAGCGCCACCGCCTGGCCCCGCCGGGCCCTCCTGGGAGTTCTGACTGACGTAGACCACGATGATGTCGCCCTTGAAATTCATCACCTGCCCGCTGGAAATAAACGTGGAGTTACTGTTTCCAGTCACATTTCCTACAGGGGAGAGGAAGAGAGAACACGCAGAGGTGAGTCATCCATTCGCGGTGAGAACCGGGTCTTGTGAAAGGGAAGTTTCCCAATGAATGGAGGGGCCAGGGCGGCCTCTCCTCACCGACAGGTCTCCTACATGCACCGGGCACACCCAGTTCTTTACCGTCCTCTCAGCAGGCCTGACAGGCCCAGGAAGAAGGGAGAGAGGCAGAAGACAAGGGAACAAGAGATAAGAGAAGGGTGAAGACAAGGGGAGATAAGCCGGGCAATGGACCCCACTCAAATTTTGTCATTTGCCACACGGAACTCTGGGAGTACTAGCAGGAGGGCACCGGGACTGTAGAATCACAGTCAAGATTCAGATGCTACAAAAGGGTTCCTGTGCCCACTTGTGAGCCCTGTGCAGCAAATAGCCAACGGCCCCGCTATGGTCCAGTGTATCAGGAAGGGCAGTGAGGGCTGGAGGGAAGGTTGTCACCTGTGAGGCTCCTGGAGCCCACCTCAGCCCAGCCTGCTCTCTGACCGCTCTCACTCTGAGGCCTCTGTCACCCTGGATGCCTTTACACCTCCCACCTTCCCTGGAGGTCCCTAATGGCTCAGCCTAGAGGGCCATGGGGCCACTCGGGTTCATATTTAGCAGAGGTTAATCAATTTCCTTGACTTTTTTTTAAACCCTGGGGGGGGGAGGGGGGATTCAGAAGACTAAAATGGGGAAAAAATTGAATCCTATAAATCACTTTCCTTTTGAATGTTGAGGAGTGTTCTTCCCAAGTGAGCAGATTTAGCCAGTGAGTGAGCAGATTTCGCGAGTCTTTAATTAACGGGCCTTTTGAAAAACAAATAGGAGGGTCAACAAATGCTAGGAAACCTGCTACCTCTTATGCTTCTTCTATTTTAAAGACTGATGCTCTGAACTGAAAGTAAATGCCACAAACCAAGGAGACACAGAGCTGCCCCCAACACTCAGCATCACAAGCAGGACCGATGTCCGCCCAGGGGAGGCGAGCTTCCTCATCTTCCTTCTTCTCTATTGTGACAAAGCCTGATAATAATTCACAGAAATAAAATTGGTTCTGTCGCCACCCCATGTGAAGAGATCCTCTCCAAATGGGGAAGGCATGTGTTGGATGGTCTAATAAATGCCCACGGCGCAAAGGCTATTCCTGTGGGGAGCCTTCCCTTCCCCCACAGGGTACCTGCAGCGAAGCCAGGACTGAGGCACAGTGGCCCATGAAAACGCAGGAATTTCAAATGTGAGCAACAAACCGAAAGTCACATGGGAAGATGTGTGACTCATGCTATTTCTCCCTTAGACATTCGTATGGGGTATATTCCAAGATGGGTAGTGGGGGTGGGGTGGTATTTACTTAATAACCCCCCCACCCCAGGCAACATGGGGGAGGTCAGTTAGTATTTCCATTCACCAACTAGCTCGATTGGCCCACATTCTCTGTTCCCTCTGAAACATACTGACAGGTGCTCCTAACATACAGTGAACTTGAAGCTAGGCTAGGGGCTTGCTTTCTAGCATGCCTATGTCTTTCTGCTCCCACCAGTTACCAAGTTAGTTCTCAAGTATGTCCTTTTTTTAATTGTCCTGAAGCATGTAACAGTTTTCACAGAAATAATTTTCATGCTTATCCACCTCATTTTTGACCAGTTAATGGAGCAGGTAATTTTCTAATTACAACGGGATCAGCGCACACTCTCAGGACTGAAGTGCAGGAAGCATGCCTCTCACCAGGCGGGAGCAGAAGGGCCTGGGCATTCCAGAGTGACCCCTTACTTGTGAGTAATCAGTGTGCTGTGGGCTTCCGTCAGCTTACTTTCCAGAGGGAAAGGAGAGTGTGGGCCAGTCTATGGGATAAATGGAGATATGGAGAGCACCCATTACGGGAACAATAGTGATAGAAACACCACCCATCCAGGACTCACTGAGTGCTCCTTCATGCCAGGCTGGCTGCATTGCAGACACCAGCTCCCAGGTACTTGGCCTGTGAGCACTCAGGTTGGCTGTCTTTTTCCCTCTTGTGTTTGACATTCTTTTCATGGCTTGTCATAATGCAGACTCATGTGCAAATAATCTAATAACATCAATGTCATCCTGGCGTCTCAGTCTCTGCAGAGCACAAGGTGCATAACTGGTGATTAAAGGATGGTGGTTTCAGTGGCTGGCTGAGCACAGGAGGGTGAGGAAGGGGGAGGGGACAGAAGAGAGTGCAAGGATCTGAAAGCTCTCTGGTCTTGTCCTGACTCTGCCCCCACTAGCCTTGGAATGTGGGACCAACCACCTAACAACTGTCCAGACCTCAGCTGCTCTTAGGAAATGAGCATCAGTCTTCAAGCCCTGCTAGCCTGGCAGGGTACAGCCGCCTGAGAAGGCATCCAATAACGACTCAATGAATGAATAAATGAATGTGTGAACACCCCACAGGACAGCATGAGGGTCAAACGAGACAATAGATTTGATAATACTTGGGAAACAGCAAAGAATTGGTCACAGGTGCAAAGATGGCATTACTAGTCCCAGAATGTAGTAGTATTAGTGCTCTTGAACTCTCAAGGAATCAGATTTGGGGAATGCACTGAGCAGTAATGCTCTTTCCATCTCCGTCTTGTTGGGGGATCTCAATCCATCTTGAAGGTTGAAAGGGCATTTTTCCCTAGAAATCTAAACAACATTTTGTTTTCATTGTGGGAAGAATCCATCATTTTGACTGCCTCTGGTTTGAACACTCATCTATGTAATTCTACACAAAACCCTATAGTCTCGTTTCTTGTTATGCAAGTCAGCTATTAGGTGAATGTAGAACTCCAACAGATCACAGTTTAGAATGAGTTGGTAGTATCTTAATCCTATAATATCTGTCAGTCCTGAATTGTCCTTGCTTAAAAGTAGTAATTCCTGCCCTAACCGGTTTGGCCCAGCAGATAGAGCGTCAGCCTGCGGACTTAAGGGTCCCAGGTTCGATTCCGGTCAAGGGCATGTACCTTGGTTGCGGGCACATCCCCAGTGGGGGGCGTGCAGGAGGCAGCTGATTGATGTTTCTCTCTCATGGATGTTTCTAACTCTCTATCTCTCTCCCTTCCTCTCTGTGGAAAATCAGTAAAATATATTTAAAAAAAAAAAAAAGCAGTAATTCCTTAAAATGTGCTCTATCTTTCGGAAGAGAAATGTTTTGCAGGGTTATGAAAGCTAACCCGAGAGGCAAGACCTTGGATGGTCAATTAGTAGGTCCCCACGCCAGCAGGCTGCATGACCAGCTGGGTGCTGCAGGGCCTCTGGGTCAGCATGGTTGCCATAGTTTCTGCCATTAATACCTGGCCCCAAAGGGATAACTCTTTCCACTGAGCACCAAGAAAGCCCAGGATGTTCTGTTGATAGAGGGGACTCCTCCCTCTATCACAGCGGTAAGGGGGGGGGCGGCGGTATGAAAAGGGGATGGTGCGGATGAGGCTTATCTACGATGCCTTAAAGAGGCCTGAGGCATTTAGCCCATAGAACCTCTAGGAATCCAAGCAGAGTAAGGGCCCTGTGTCCCTCTTCCTTGCTCTTCTCAGCTGTCATTCTGGCAGCTTTCCCCTACCAGGTATTTATTTTAAATTTATTTCACTTGCAGAAAAAGATGGGGTTGGAGGCATGTGAAACAAAGAACTTGGCTCACAAAAGAATGGGTGAGAGCAAAGACTAACTTCCTGAGACAGCTGGCAGAGGAGAAGGGACTCCCAGGTCATGGTAGCCATCACCTCCTGCACAGACCCGGTGTCCTTCCCATGCAACCTTCTGGGCCTGGCCTGGGTACTGCCCCTCGCTCAGCAGAGCAGCCAACTCTCCCGGGTCTGTGTTTGCCCTTATTCTGGGGGCACATTGAAGATTCTCCAACACACAGTAAACAAATGAAGTCATATCCCTGCTAGTGATTTAAGGGGAGAGGAGCCGCGGCTTCAGGTCCAGGCTCTGCAGGGAGATAAGCAGGATGTCAAAACAGTCTTATGTCGACTGATCAAATTGTATCTGAAGGCTACCCAAGAGTATGATGTGGGAGCCAGAGGACATGAGGGTATTTAGTAAATTAGACATGTTGAAGGGTTTCTAACATTCAAAACGGGTTACTTGGCTTAACATGAATATTTAATGTGACTTAACCAGAAGAATGTCCAGGTAACTGGAGAAAGGTAAAAGTAGCATTTAGTTCAACAGAAACAATGAACAAATAAAGTGGCCCTTCACGATCAGAAAGTGGGATCCTTGCTTTTATAGGGACTCTCTATTTCTAGGCAGAGAGAAGCAGCTTCCTTTTTAGAACTGAATTCCTCACAGAATTTACATTTATAAGCAAGGGGATGCATTCTTCTCTTCTCAAAAGCTTATTATGTCGTTAAAAATGCATAATTTATGAATATTAAATTACAAGAACTATAGCAAATAAGACCATCCAGCTGTCAGTCGGATATTCTTCGGAGGAAGAGAACTAAAAATATACACGAATATGCTCCAGCTATCCAGCTACCCTGGGTGCCTTCCGAATTTCTTAAAAACTGGTTTTATATTTAATCCATATGCTTCTCATGTGACTTTCCTTTTGATGGAAATGCATGCCCTGTTTTAGGCATTTGGAAGAAACTGGTGTATAATGATCAGGGAAGGGAAGCAGTATTTAATAGTTCCATTCTGAATCATGCTTGAAAATTACAGTGGCTTATGAATGAAACCCTTCCAAAATGAGCCACATTAGAACAGAGAGAAGGCAAGCAGGACTGAATTAAAAGTATACAGTGAATTAATTTTTCATATATTTTAAAATAGTGCATTGACTTTTAGCATAAATGAATGCTCATTATTATTACCAAATAACAAAATTATAAAATATTTTGAACTTATAGAATCAATGAGCCCTTAGCTAAAAGTGAAACACAAGTTAGTGGATGGCATTCCAGCAGGAGAGAGAAGAAATAGAGGACTGTCTTTTACAGGAACACTTCTCCCTGTCTCTACATGGTCC